TTTTCCTTCTGACAGTCTGGCCCCTCTGCTGTAGGTCTGCTGAGGTCCATTCCAGGCCCTGCTTGCCTGGGGTTCACCTGCAGCAGCTGCTGAACAGTAAGGGTTGTTACCAGTTTTCTTCTTCTGCTATCTTTGTCCCAGAAGGATACCCGCGAGGTGTCAGTCTGATCTCTCCTTTATGAGGTGGCTCTTTGGATATATAGGGGTCAGGGAGCTGCTTGAGCAGACGGTCTCTTCTTTATAGGAGCTCAAATGGTGAGCTGTGAGCTCCGTTGTTCATTCAGAGCTGCTGGGCGGGTACATTTAGGTCTGCTGCAGCAGAACTCATAAACTGCTTTTTGTTCCCAGGTGCTCTGTCCCAGGGATTTATGGCTTTATTTATGAGTTTCCGTTATGGTGCTGCCTTCTTTTTTTTTTTCCTTCAGAGCTGCCCTGCACAGCAAGGAGGCAGCCTAGTCACTGTCTGCCTGTAGAGGCTTTGCTGAGCTGCTGTGGGCTCTGCCCAGCTGCCGAGTGAACTTCCCTGCAGCCCTGTTTATAAGGGTGTAGTTAGAACTGCCTCGGCAAGCGTGGTCCGCCTCTTTTAAGGTGGAGTCTCTCTGCAGTGGCGGGTTGCCTCAGCAATGGTGGGCTGCCTCAGCAATGGCGGGTTGCCTTGGCAACAGCGGGCTGCCTCGGTAATGGCGGACGCCCCTCCCCCTCAGAGCTGGCTGGTCCCGGATTCAGCTGCACTTACTGTGAAACACTCAATCCAGAGAGTTTCTGATTGCTGTTCCTTTGTGGGGGTGGGACCAGCCGAGCCTGATCGCCTGGTTCCCTGACTCAGAGCCTTTTATTTTTTTTAAGTTGGCGTTCCAGTCGCCTATTGAGGCGCCGGGGTCTGTTTGTTTTCCTGTGTCGTGACTCACTGTGCTGGCTTAAACAGCGGCACTGAGATTTGTGGCGCTTTTTTTTTTTGCCCTGGAATCTACTGTCCTGGTTCTCTGCTCAGTCCCCTTTTTAAACAGACGAATGGGTGACTTCCTGTGGCTCCAATCGCCAGCCAAAAGGGCCCCCGGACCGGTGTATTTTGTACGGAGAACCGCGGCTCCGGGGCGCCGACAAAGCAGCCGCGCGGGGCAGAGCAGCCACGCTGGCCGAAACAGCCGCGCTGGCGACCGTGGAGCTCCTCTGCCTGAGAATTACCTAGTCTGTGGGCAATAAAAACGCGGCATCCACTCACCCTCTGCGCTTTCACTGGGAGCTGCAATCCTGAGCTGCTCCTAAACGGCCATCTTGGATCGATCCCCGAGGTAGTCTTATTCCTCACAGCAATTGGGGTGGCATCTCCATTTCACCAAGGGGAAACTGAGGCTCAAAGAGGGCAACTGCGTAGAAGTCACTCAACTAATATGTGACAGACCTGGGTCTACACCTTACTGGTTCCAAACTGTGGGATTCCCTTAATAGTGATGACGCTATGCTTTTTGTTATTTTATGATGTTTAACGGTGATTTTGAGGACTGGGCAAGTCTTAACATCTGAGAATGCAGTGAACACATTCATTACCATCCTCCCTTCAGGCAACCCCATGATATGATTTTTGGTGCCATTAGGTGGCAGTGACCGACAGTGACAAACAGGAGCCCCAGATTCTGCCCTGATGCCACCTCTGGCACCCATAGATGTGTTGTCTGTTGGCCCAGAAACTAGGAAAAGCGGGCACGCACTTTCTTCAGGGAAATGAAATAAAGCATTCTTTTTTTTTTTCTTTCTCCTAGCAAACACATGAGCCTCTGGAAGTGGACACCCAGGTGAGTGTGGGGCCTTCCAGGGTGGACCCCAGGGAGGCAGCCACCCCTCCAAGCCCAGGGACTTGCATGGCTTTTTAAGATGAAACTGCTTTCCAAGACTAAAGCAATGTATTCTGAAAAATCTGTAGAAAACTGCCTTTGGAATAGATTTCTGTTTTTATTTTTTAAATTTTGAGATAGTGTCTCACTTTGTCACCCAGGCTGGAGTGCAGCGATGTGAACATGGCTCACTGCAGCCTCGACCTCCAGGGTTTAAATCAGTCCTCTTGCCTCAGCCCCCAAGTAGTTGGGACTACAGGTGCGCCCCATCATGCCCAGCTACCTTTTCTATTTTGTGTAGAGATGGGGTTTCACCATGTTGCCCAGGCCGGTCTTGAACTCTTGAACTCAAGTGATCTGCCCACCTCAGCCTCCCAAAGTGCCGGGATTATAGGCATGAGCCACCGTACCCAGCCTAGATTTTTTTTTTAAAGAACTGTATACCTTGTTTTTCTCATTAGAAAGGTAACGAACACTCATAAAATGGTTCAAAGAAGATTTCACATCAGGGCTGGTAACAGCGTTTTGGGGTGAGTTCAGGGCTTGTCGAACTGACACAGGACCACATGCCGGGATGAGGACAGCGCAGATGGCTGTGCCCAGGCCACTAGCCGCCTTCTGTGCCTCCCCACCCTCCTCCCACACCCGCCTTTCCAAGCCCCCCACCTCCTCCCAGCCACCATCCCGAAGCTCTGCTTCTTTTCCCTGAGGAATTTTAGCTTGAACAATGACAAGATACAGAGGACAAAGAGGGCAGTTTTGTGGAGGAAGTAATTTTCTGTCTCTTGCTCTAGGTATGTTCAGATCCGCCAAGCTGTATGCATAGGCATTGCGCCATTTTTCCTATATATTTTAGTTCAAATTGAAACGGCATTTTAATGGATTTCTTGAATCTCTATATTTTAAAATTCTAATTGTGGTAAAATACACATAACAGGAAATGTACCATTTTAACCATTTTAGGTGTACAGTTCAGGATCATTGAGCACATTCACACTGTCATGCAACCATCACTGACATCCTTTCCAGAACGTTCCATCTTCCCAAACTGCAACTGTCCCCAGGAAGCAACTCTCTACTCCCCTCCTCACAGCCCTCGTGGCCTCCATTCTAGTCTCTGTCCCGATGAGTGTGACCGCTCTAGGTACCTTGCACAGGTTGAATCATATCGTGTTTGTTCTTTGCTGTCTGGCTTATTTTATTTAGCATAAAGTCCTCGAGTTTCATCCATGTTGTAGCATGTGTCAGAACAGAATTTCCTTCCTTTTTAAAGCTTTATACTATTCCATTGTATATATAATTTTTTTTTTTTTTTTAGGAGATGGTCTTTCTCTGTGCTCTGTTGCCCAGGATGGAGTGCAGTGGCACAATCATAGCTCACTGCAGCCTTGAATTCCTGGGCTCAAGGGGTGTTTCTGCCTCAGCCTTCTGAGCAGCTGAGACCACAGGTGAGTGCTACTATGCCCGGCTAATTTATTTTTATATCTTCGATTTTTTTTTTTTGAGACGGAATTTCATTCTTGTTGCTCAGGGGTAAAGTGGCACAATCTTGGCACACTGCAACTTCTGCCTCTCAGGTTCAAGTGATTCTCCTTCCTCAGACTCCTCAGTAGCTGGGATTACAGGTGTCCACCACTACGACTGTTTTATTTATGTATTTTTAGTAGAGACAGGGTTCACCAGGTTGGCCAGGCTGGTCTTGAACTCCTGACCTCAGGAGATCCACCTGCCTCAGCCTCCCAAAGTGCTGGGATTAGAGGTGTGAGCCAGTGCGCCTGGCCTGCCTGGCTAATTTATTTTTTTTGTAGAGTTGGTGGGAGCGAGATGGTCTCACTATGTTGTCCAGACCGGTCTCAAACCCCAGTTCTCAAGCCACCCTTCTTCCTCAGCCTCCCAAAGTGTCGAGATTACAGGCGTGAGCTAGCCAATTGGCCTAAAACTGTTTTGTTTTGAAATAAAGGTAAACCATAAAAATGGGTGGGCAAGTGAAAATTTTGGCCAGCCTTCGGATTATTTTTATTTACCAGGAGGCTTGCGTTTATGAAGCATCACTATGGGTTAAGGACTAGGTAAAGCATTTTAAGTTCATTCTTATTTACTCCTTGCAACTTTATTTCAATTTTTTTCAGAGGAGAAAACTCGTCTATAAAGTCAAAGACGTTAGATTACTTTCCCAAAGTCATGCTGTGGGAGAGGAGAGGTGGATTCAGCCCCTTGTCCGTTATCCCAGCGACCCACCTGGATCGGGTGTGGAACTCTGTACCGTAACTCTGTTACTGGTTCCTGGTAAGGAGACCCCCTTCTAATGGAAGGGACGGTGTAGATGATGAAGCCCACGGAAACCATCTCTTTCTTTCTTCCTTTTTTTTTAGAGTTGCTCCTGCCCAGGCTGGAGTGCAATGGCACGATCTCGGCTCACTGCAAGCCCCGCCTCCCGGGTTCAAGGGATTCTCCTGCCTCAGCCTCCTGAGCGAGCTGGGATTACAGGTGTGCGCCACCACGCCCGGCTTATTTTTGTATTTTTAGTAGAAACGGGGTTTCACTATGTTGGCCAGGCTGGTCTCGAACTCCTGACCTCAGGTGATCCGGCCGCCTCGGCCTCCCAAAGTGCTGAGATAACTGGCATGAGCCACCGTGCCCAGACGGAAAGTGTCTCTTTCTTCGCTCCGCCAGCCTGGGTTTCACACTCAGCCAGCAAGTTTGGTGGCGCCAGCAGCAGGCGCTGTGGTCCCCGGCGTCCCTCCTGGACCTCCCGCCGCGCTTGCGGAGCGCACTCGCTCCCAGGTGGGCGAGCGTCCTGCACAGCGGCCCAGCCAACCCAGGCTCAGACTGGGGCCTGAGCCCTTCCCCTCGCCACCCTCCCCTGAGGGAAACGGTCCCTATCCGCGTGACCATCCTTTTATTATTATTATTTATTTAAAGACAGGGTCTCACTCTGTCGCCCAGGCTGGAGTGCAGTGGCGCCACCACGGCTCACCGCAGCCTGGAACTCCAGGCTCAAGTGATCCTCCCGCTCACTCAGCCTTCCAAGTAGCTGGGATTACAGGCCTAAGCCGCTGTTCCCGGCAGGCCGGGGTCTCCCGATGCTGCCCAGGCTGCACCCGTGCCTTCTTACCGCGCGCGGCCCCTTTCATCGACGTGTTACAGACACTCGCGCCCGCCTTCCCAAGGGTCCGGGCCACCCTAGTCCGCAGTGAGCAAGGGACCCACAGGCTGTGGCTTGGGGCTGTTTAACATTTCCACAGACCGCGACTGTCTTCCCCAAACTGTCCACCACGACAGATGTTTGCACTTGTCTGCAATATGGGAACCCTCACCAATTTGTGTTTGGAGGCGCTGAGTCTTGGATGCGGAGTTTTGAGAGCCTTCGGAGCCCCCATGCTGGCTGCTTTGTGCTACGTGTCCCTGGAAATCATCTCACACCTGGGTTCATAAAGCAGGAACGCTGCAGGTGGGAAATGCATTCCTCATCAAGCACTGAAAATCAGACACGTTCCAGACGCATTCCGGTGTTGCCAACAGCGTCACAGAGGCAGATACAGCGGGCCATTATGCAGAATTCCATGCGGGAGAGCTTCCCAAGAACCCACTCCAGCAGAACCCACTCCAGCCTCCTAAAGGAAAGATCTCTCTCCTGAAGCCCCATGGACCTTTAGAGAATCCTGCTCAAGGGGAGGACTTACTGAGACAGGAAGAAAGTGAACTTTTACATTATTTTTTCAGAAGAACACACTGCAGGCATCAGCCACGCTTGAACCCTCGGAGGACGTGTGTTTTTCCTCCGGGGAAAGCCTGTGAGAGATGGAACAGCCCCTGCAGTGACTTCTCAAGCTGCTTCTGCTAGGAAAAAAAGCTCCTGCCTCCTTATTGAATCTAAGATAACAAACTCGGTGACTTTGAAAGCCTGCTTCCGGAGTCTATCGATGAAAACAATTAACCAACTGCAGAACTAGTGGTTTAAATTTAAGGCCACTTTTATTATTTTAGAAAATGCTTTTTCCAATTACAATGTAATCCAGGGAAGACACTGTTATGGCACAAAAATTGTTTTAGTAAGAGTCTTGTAAATATATGAGCTAAATGAACATTTACACACCAAACAGCTTTAAATATAGCACTTTCTGGAAACAGTTTGCTGCTTTGAGTGTTATTCAAATCCCTAACATGTTCGCCTTGTTATGATGTTCTGTAATGTGCAGGGGAAAAAATCTTTTGGGTAGTCAGAAACCTTAGCGTGATCAACCCAAGATTTGCACCATAATATAAAATTAGGAAGAAAAGTGCCTTCCCTGACCTTAAATGTACCATGTCCACATGTTGTACTAAAGGTTATTTAGGATAGCCTCAACTTGTGGGGGCGGTGGGTGGTGAAGGTGGCAGGACTCTATTCATCTTTAGAAAATACATTTACTCTCTTAAATCATGCAATACTCTAAGTATTATTTTGGTGGAGATTCATGAATTGGTGTCACAAATATCGGAAGTTCAAAAAATTCAGAAAAAAGGGCTTTATTCATTAATACAAAATAATTAAAGAAAGTATTAATAATACATTTTAAAAACCCTAAAGCGAAAGGAGACCTAAACCCTATTGGGTTAATTTTGTGTGTGTGTGTGTGTGTGTGTGTGTGTGTGTGTGTGTGTGGCTATTCCATGGTGTGTGTGTGTGTGTGTATTTATTATATAATATACATAACATATATAATAAATATTTTTATATATTTTTATATAATAATTTTTAATAAAGTGAATGTTTAAATTCACTTTATAAAAAGTGAACTTATATAAAAAGTGAAGGGTTAATTTTTTATAAAGTGAATGTTTATATTCATAGTTATTATTCTAGGTATTCTTGTGTAGGAATTCTATGTTATATCAACTTACTTGTCCAGATCAAAGAAATCCAGGATAAATGAGAGATATGCTGGCCCTCCTATTTTTCTTTTGTAAATTTAAGGATTTCTTGGTGTAAATTTTATTAAAAAATACAAGAATAACTCAGTAAAACAAAGTTTAAAAAGGAGAAATGAGTCATTATAAGAAATGGTTTTAGAATTTTAAAAAATGAATTTTGGTATTGTATAGTGATGTTCAATATTTTATAAAAACAAGGATATAAGAAGTCATTGTATACAGCAGCTTAAAAACCATGTATGTAAATGTAATAGATATAGCATTTGAGTTTTAAAATAGGCTTAGAGATTTTTTAAATTTTTCTATTAAATCCAGAGTAAAATAGTTTCAGTGAAATTTCCAGGGTAGAAAAAAAAAAAGGTCTGGAATCTTGCCCACAGAGAGAGGCAATTTCTATTTTTATTGCACGTTTCAATGTCTTAAAGGACTAGTGAAGTAGAGAACAATTCCACACTGTCTGAGAGAGAAGGCCCCAGCCTTTAGAATCATGGATACCTCAGAGAGTAGCAGGATGCAAGACATGCTTTCATTGCTTACATGAGCTGAAATCAGCATGCTAACCTGAGAAAACAGCACAGGCACTGTTCTATTGCAAAACCTCACTTCTTCATAGATGAGTGATTTTCAAGTAGATGAATCGAATTCTACACTCCCATCCACTCTAAACAGACCCACTAGTCTATGTCAATTGTATGATACTGGCATTTCTATAAACATGTTGTGACTAAATTCAATTTTAAGATGTAAAAACACAATTTGAGTTCCCATGCTCATCTCCAACCCCACTCAAAATCAAACTGTGGGTAAACAAGAAGCTTGTTACTGTTACGAACATTTATTATGGTGGAACTTAAAGAATCAAGTAATCAGCTAGGTGGCTCAAGCTTGTGATCCCAGCACTTTGGGAGGCTGAGGCGGGTGGATCACCTGAGGTCAGAATTTTGGGACCAGACTGAGCAATATGGAGAAACCCCATCTCTACTAAAAATACAAAATTAGCCCGGCATGGTGGAGCATGCCTGTAATCCCAGCTACTCGGGGGGCTGAGGCAGGAGAATCGCTTGAACCGGGAGGCGGAGGTTGTAGTGAGCTGAGATCGTGCCACTGCACCCCAGCCTGGACAACAAGAGTAAAACTCCATCTCAAAAGAAAAAAAAAAGAATTAAGTATTCACATCCACTCCATGGACTGTACTTCTGCTCTTGGATGATCACTATTCCATTTTTTAAAATGGCCAAAGCTTTTTATCAGAATGCTTCTCACACTAGGATCTTGTAGCAGCCTTTATTACTCACGAGAACTAAGTCCTGCTGCCTCAAGCCTACGGCATACACTGCATGTCATGAGTTAACTTCGGAGAGAAGTTATGCGTCTAGAATGGCTCCAGTTTTGCACCAGCCTGGAGAGAAGTGAGTGTCATTCACAGCTTTACAAAGGGCTTCTTTCTTTCTTTATTTCTTTCTTTCTTTCCTTCCTTCCTTCTTTCTCTCTCTCATTCTTTCTCACTTTCTTTCTCTTTCTTTTTTTCTCAGTCTGGTTGATAAAGGCTTCAAGGGTATGTATGGAAAACTTTGCATTTTTCAAGCCTAGGGGCCTGTCCAGTGTGTCCTACAGCAAGCAGAATGCACTAATGAACCGATTGTGTTTGACTGACATGAAAACCTAGCTGCAGTCAGCAATCTGAGACTTGGAAATCACATTCCTTTCATCAGATTGTTAGTGGAGCACCCTTTATGATATAAAACAGAAAGTATGCTGGGAGTGTAGTTCCAAATGCACCATCAAGAAGCTAATTTATAAAAAATGTATTAAATTGGAAAGCATAGGGACTTGCTGAATAAGGGTTAATGATACTCAGAAGCTGAGGGTGAAAAGTTGAGTAGAAACAGGCTCAACATGACCGTCGTTCATTTTATAAACAAATGGTGACCAAGATACTGCAGCCGTGTTTGCAGGACAGAAAATTCTGCCATCTTCCAGCCATGCCCACACACAGAAACAGCTTTCCCTGTCAGGACAGCTCTGGTGTGGAGGGAGAAGGGGGCACACACCCTGCATGGGCACACGCCCTTGCCCCAGGCAGGGATCCTCAGACACTCATATTATTTACACCGTAGAAAGCAAACAGGCTGCCCACAAAGAACGATTAGGAAACTTGAAGTGTTTTATTCCGTACTTTTTCTTTAAAGTGTAGACTGTCATAGATTCATCCGTATAAATAATTTTCCTGCCAACATTAGTTCACTTTCCACTTCCCATTCAAAATCTTCAGAACTTCAAGTATTTGAATGCACTTAAAAATTTCCCCTGCTTTTGTTTTACATAGCACATTCTCATTATAATTAGGCGACTCATGAAGTTGAAGAATTTCTTGTAAAAGAAAGTTCAAAATCTACTAGTATGCATTAGGACAAATTAGCACTGTCTTGGTCAGTAATCATTTTAACAGTATGTAAAGAAAGAAAAACACTATGTTTCTTTCATTTTTCCTGAAAGAAAAGTGGAAGAAAATAGGCATATCTGTACCATTCAGATCAAAGCACAAAATATCATTTAAAAAATAAATACCTAAGGCATACCTGACACACTTTTATGTCAATTTCCTCAACTGTTTAAAAATGGCCTCAGGTGTGGCTGTGTGTCCACCTGCCTTCTGCCAGCAACCTCTGCAGCCCTTGCCCACTGACCCTGCGTCCGGAATAACTGCTCTTTGTCACTTGTCATGAAGCCTGCACCTTGATATCCTGGGCTTCACATGCAATTTCGGAAACTCAAATGACACTACATAGACTTGCTCTAAATCTTTTTTTAGTGCAGTTTGGCAAATATCCCAAATGAAATTCAACTCTAAGTTAAAAGTATTAAACAGAGATAGAGCTAAGTGCCTCCGAGATTCTCTGGGCTGCCCAGAGGCTCTGGAGAGCGTAGGAATAGAAAACCCAAATGCCCCGGAGCTGAAGGGACTGCAAGATACCTGCTGCTTTACCACAACAGAACAGTTACCCTAGGGACAGCCCTCCCGACTGGGCTTCTGCGCTGCTGTGAAGATCTTAAAGGCCCACAACCCTTGTCCTCCCAAAGCCCCAAACTCAGAAAGTGGGCGTCATCCCCACTGTTAACTCACAGTGCTAAGAAGAGCAAGCATTGAACACGGAAACCTGATCTGTCCCCCATCGTCCACCTCCCGGGACTCTGGACGCTCACTTTCAGGCTCTATCTGCTGGTGGGAACTGCACTTTGGTTTTGGTTTCTAGGAAAAAGATCACTACACAGCTGTCTGGAGACACCCGGGCACTAGATGGCCAAGTCCTCTGGCCTGGCCCGCCCACTGCTGGCCTTGCTGGCCCTACCCGGATCCCCCAGGAGCAAGGGCGGCTGGTGCATCTGGGCCGCGGTGGTCACAGCCTGCTCCTCCTCCTCGGGGGTCCCTGCCAGGGCGCTCCCCTCTAGACTGCTGCCGCTCCCGTCCAGCAGCAGGGGTGCCGCGCCCGCCTCGGCCTCGGGCGCGAGCTGCTGGGAGCTGCTGCTGGTGGGGCTGGGCGCGGCGGGCCTGGCCGCCGCCGGGGAGGCCTTGAGCGCGGGGGGCTGCTGCTCGGCCGCCTGGTTGGCCCAGTTCTGCTCAGTCATCAGCAGGTGCTGGTGGCCGTTGTAGAGCTTGGCGGACTGGCCCTTCCCGCGCGCCTCGGTCAAAGCTAGCATTTTGAAGTCCACGGCCGGTGGCGGGGCTCCGGGGTAGCCCACCGCACGGGCCTGTCCCAGGGGCGCAGCGGTGTGCGCGTGGTAGGGCGGGAACCCGATGGCGACGGCGGACGGCCGGGAGCTGGGGGGCAGGGGCGGGGGATCGGCCGTCCCCAGCTGGGTCTCGGAGGCGCCCGGGCCGAGGCGGCTGGTCACGCCCTGCTTGAGCTTCCTCCAGCCCAGGTGGTAGATCTCCAGCATGTTGAGCAGCAGGGACGCGCAGGCCACCGCCAGCATGAAGATGATGAAGATGGTCTTCTCCGTGGGCCTGGAGATGAAGCAATCCACCGTGTTGGGGCAGGGCCAGCGGTCGCAGCGGTAGAGCGGCTTCAGCTCGAAGCCGTACAGAAAGTACTGGCCGGCGATGAAGCCCACCTCGAACAGCGTCTTGAAGATGATGTTGAAGACGTAGGTCCGCAGCAGCGCCCCGGACATGCGCACCCTGCCGCGGTCATCCCGCGAGCGGGGCTTGTCCTGCACCGGCTCCTTGGGGCTGGGGCTGTCCCTCTTCAGCTGCTCCTCCTCCTCCCTCTCTTTCTTCTTCTCTTCCATGCGCACGATGTGCAGCACGTGGCCCAGGTAGATGAGGGTGGGCGTGGACACGAAGATGATCTGCAGCGCCCAGAAGCGGATGTGTGAGATGGGGAAGGCCCTGTCGTAGCAGACGTTCTCGCAGCCCGGCTGCTGGGTGTTGCAGGTGAAGTCTGCCTGCTCATCACCCCACACGTCCTCCGCCGCGGCCCCCAGCACCAGGATGCGGAATATGAACAGCACCGTCAGCCAGACCTTGCCAATGACCGTGGAGTGCTCCTGTGCATTTTCCAAGAGTCTTCCCAGAAAGCTCCAGTCACCCATTGCTTCAGATTCCTAACCTGCAAGGAGAAAACGCTCATTAACACCGGGGCTGCGATGGCTGAGCGCCAGGGTCTGCACCTGAGGGCTGCAGCCACTGCCCCATGGCCTGGGATGGGGCTGATGGGCAGCTTCTCCACAGGGCAGGCATCGCAGCTCCCTGGGACGTGGCCGAGCACACTACGCAAGTGCAAACGTCCATGAGGAACCACAGGTTAAACTCTTCATTTCAGAGACAAGAAAGCCAGAGCCAGGAGAGAAATGCCCCCGCTGGTCTCCACGCTGCCCGGGTTCTCTCCCTGAGGCTGACCCCACAGGAGCTCTGGGGCTCTGCCACCACTGGGGCCAATTCTGAATCATGACCTTTCTGTTCAGGTGGGATTACAGCAACCTCTTCCCAAATTGCTGCCATCCCTATGCCCATGCCACCTTCAGAACTTCTGCCATGCTAATCTAATACCTTTTCTGCTTTCTCTGTCTTCACATCAACTCTTTATGCTTAAATTTATCTAAACTAGGAAAGTTTACTACTGTCAATGGAAAACTGGCACTAATACCTTCAGTGGATGGTATCTTTAAGAGTAAATACATTCCAACTCAGCCAGCTTTATTTTGGAAATAAGGAAATAAAGGTGTACTCCCCTTTTTTAAAAACAGAATAAATTCCTTGATGACAGCGAAGATCATACATTCTATGGGATATTGCTTGGCAAAAGCTCTGGGTGTAAGCTCTCTCTTTGCTGCAAAGAGGAAGATGGGGAGTACTGGAGAGGTGTTGAACAAGCTAGTACCAAACCCAGCCCTTCTCCAAGGCCACTATTTGGGTGGAAACAGAATTGATTAGGGAACGATCTTCTCATGCATGATTCAGCATCAACTCATGACCACCTGAAATCACCTCAGCTGATCGAGTGCCCACACTGGATTCTGGGCAGAGCTCGAGGCGTGGACGATGGGGGCAGAGGAAGCACCTGG